CATAGAAAATCTTTGGAGGGAGTTGAAAATCCGTGTTGCCCAGCGACAGCCCCAAAACATTACTGCTCTAGAGGAGATCTGCATGGAGGAATGGGCCAAAATACCAGCAACAGTGTGTGAAGACTTGCAGAAAACGTTTGACCTCTGTCATTGCCAACAAAGGGTATATAACAAAGTATTGAGATGAAATTTTGTTATTGACCAAATACTTATTTTCCACCATAATTTGCAAATAAATTCTTTAAAAATCCTACAATGTGATTTTCTGGATTTTTTTTCTCATTTTGTCTCTCATAGTTGAGGTATACCTATGATGAAAATTACAGGCCTCTCTCATCTTTTTAAGTGGGAGAACTTGCACATTTGGTGGCTGACTAAATTTTTTTTTTCCCCACTGTATATGAATATCATAATATACAGAAGATCACATGGTGATCATGGTCTATGCATATCAGAGCATCTGTTACAAATAAATAGAAATAAAAAATAATAGCCTACATATACATATAAAGTATGTGATATTTACATTTCAAATGTAAATCCACAATTTATGCCTCCTGCTCAGATACACGCATTAACTGGCTATTAATGCAATGGATTGGGCCAAAAAAAACAGGAGCATCTGAAATCTCACTCTAGAGATAAGATCAATCAAAATGTGATTTATAAGATCAAAGTATTGTTCAAGTAAGACTGATTCTCTTCAGTCAAGTTGCATGCGGGATCTGTTGTTTTAAAAAAAAGGCTTTGTCCAGACTAAGTCAAAACCATTGCAAACACAATTCATCGTCATTCATACCACTAATAGCAAACACGTGGCATAAAAGAGCTAAAGTGGACGTGTGAACCTCGCAGAACGTGTGTGGGTATCCGCGACCAGTCTCTAAAATCAGTCTAAGAGAATTCAGGCTCTGGGGTAGGTCTCAAAATTACAATGTTATTAAAAATTACTTTTGGAAATGCATTATTTATGATGCAAATATGAACTTTACTTCATCAGTTCTGTTCAATTTCTATAACCTACCAGTTGTAAGAAAGGTACTTTGGTCAGAATGTAAAAAGTAAAAGTGGAGATAATTTTATGAATAGCTTGCGCTGTAGCGCTATCTAGTGGTCATCGTCAGTACCTACAGATTTTAGAACTGCGAAAAGTATGTTTTATGAATCAATCTAGTCCAAGCAACGTATGTAAAGTCATTTGTAAGCACTGTTGTTTCGAATTCTAAACATGATCTCAGAGTATCTCAATCATTCTTATGGTTATCAAAGGTAAACTAAAAAGTTAATGCTGACACACACATAGAACTACCCAACACTGCAGCTCTAAAGGGAAGAATGGATTTGGAAAAATCTGGTCTTGTTTGCTGAAGTCCTCAGTTGAGTAGAGACCTCAGCTGGAACATGAAACAGAAAGGCTAATGAAGGAACACTGATGTAATTAAATGTAAGGGATCCTCTGGCAGAGTTTGAAT